GATACTGGCAGTGGGGATGCGCTGCGCTGCGATGCAAGGCAATGGAGGTGTTGGTGCCCTAACAACGCTCGAGGCCGTGTGCTACCTAGGTCCGCCGTCGTGCCATGGAGCGTGGCTGCCAGATCCGACGTGCCTCTATCATTGGCAGATTGGCCTTGTGCTTCAAGAGCTCGGCTTACGACCCGCGCCTTTCCAACACTGCCTTCACAGCGGCCCCTTGATACAACGGCCCCTGCACTACGCGCTGCAGCTGTGCCTCCAAACGTCTATATACAGTACCTGCAGTCTGCACTCTGCGGTGCTACACCTCTGTTGGCTTCACGATGTCTCCCCCGTCCAATCGACCCACCGCCCCGATCAGCTCAGCCCCCAATCTTGGAGCGTCTCAATCTGGAACGCCTCCACGATAGAGTTTACCTCGTCGCCCAGCCAGCGCCAACTCCACCTGAATGACATGCAACGGCGTTTTCAAGTTAGACATGTCCGTGGGGCTGGTCCCCCCAATGTAAAGGCTTCTAATTTAAGCCGGGTACTTTTATCAAATGCCCTGACTGAAGTTGAATGTGAACCTCCTGCCACACGGTGGCTGCTGGTTACTGGCCAGCTGTGAAGGGCGCTAGCTGAAGCTGACAGATACGAATTTATGCGGACAAAAAATCATTAGCCCCGCAGGGGGTAATGATTTTTTGTCCGATTAGGAATGACAGCCTCGGCACCCCACCCCACCATCACACCCATAACAAACATCAACACCGCAACACATCAACACCGCAACCACCACTGTATCGTCCTATACCCTACAATAACAACTAACTCCTGCAACATGTGCGACAACAGCAAAATACTTCTTTCCCCCCCATCTCGCGCGAGAGATCTACTTCGGCTTCTCCTCAACGCCGCCGCCGCGCTTATCACCGCCATCAACAGCAGCCAAGATTAATTAATCAACATCTACAACCAGAAAAACAAACGTCGCATCCATCCGCGAATTTCTCGCAAAGCAGCTGTTGAAGCAATTTGGATACCTGATACATCTTGCGCCAGGTGTATACACAAGGTGGGCCAATACCGCAACCAAGTAAACTTTGCTGCCGCCGCCGCCGCCGCCGCCCCTCTTATACTCCAATGTCGCGCATCACCCTTCTTTAAGTCCCTCGTTAATAACTGTCAGCCAGTGATACCACAGTCTTATCCTCTTATCCTCCAACCACGCGCTCCTGCCACACCCATCGTATCGCATCTATCTCACGCTTCGCCGAGACCAACAAACCTATGTACATTCAGGCTCAGAGTGCACGAGGGACAACAAGAGAGAAGACAGCAAGGAGCTGTCAGATAAGCAGCGTCAAAGCAGAATTATTGCTTAGGCCACAGCTATAACAGCACATACACAGGCCTTTGTGGACGAGGATAGCAACTGGAGACATGCAAACAGAAACAACCACACAAGCTACCGTAGCCTTAGAATCACCAACCGCCTAGAGGGCAATCGTCTCAACTGCGACTTGGCGTGTCGGCCCATGGTCACAATCACTTCCTAGGTAGACATAGGAAGGAGCCACACTGTCCCGCCGCACCCCGAGAGAAAACGACACGAACGCCTATTCGGCCCATTTTTGGGATCGCTCGCACTTACCACCTCTTGGCAACGAAAGCGGTCTCTTCTCAGTTGTTAGTGCTAGACTTGCTGGCGCTGAGGGTCTTGTGGACAGTATCTCGTATGTAGGTAGTCTGGATTTGGACAAAGAGAGAGTGCGGCACTTGACCAGCGTGTACGACCACGACTTGTTAGTTTTAGGAATTAATACAACATCAACGACAACGTCTTTATAGTAAACTTAGGACTAGCACGTCGCAAACAGTATGCACGTGTAGTGTACTTGAAGTCTCTCATTCGACAAAGTCGTTCTTACTATACATCCAACAGAGCACCAGTACAACTGCTTGCAAAAGGACCCAGACGATGCCAAAGCGCATGTCTCCGCGGACCAGTGCATTGCGCTGCCGCCGCCGCGGCGGGTGATGCCATGCGAGGGGGGGTGAGGGTGTGCCTAGTAGCGTTAGTCTTGCGCCTGCCAGTTGTTGTTTGTTAAGGGTGGTGTTCCTAGGAGTGACGTTGGTGTCGCTGTCCTTGACAGCTTTGGCCTTGCACTTGCGCGGTGTCGCAATCTTTCTAGGTGCCCGGATGTGACCTCAGCGCCCGTTGCCCTCCTTATCCTTAGCCTTGCGCTTGCGCGGTGTTGTGTTGTAGAGGCAAAAAGATAGCCAGGGCTGCATGGTGCGTGTGTGGAAGATAGGATGGAAGGGGGTCGAACTTGTTACGTACACAACGACAATAGCAAAAAAAAGATAGATACGCGTACAGGGCCTCAGAACTAAACCTTATCGTCAGAAGGTAACATAGTTGCCATCAGCAACGCGAGCTAGGAACTCGATGATTCTTTGCAGACTTGCAAAGATTAAATGTTGTCATCTCTGGCCGTTGCACCGTAAGTCCGGACGATAGAAATCAGCGCAGTTGTATAGATTATGTAGCCAAGGTATCCTTTGTCTCTTTCCTTGTGGCGGCGGGCGATTGTGGGTAAGATTCAGGGCCACCAGGAAGGGAAGGCGCGAAGATCCAGGAATTCTACGGCGAGTTTGGGGCCACCAGGGAGGGAAGGCGCTGGGATTAGTATAGCAAGTTTGTACGAGCTAGATTTGTATAAGAGCGGACTCGCATAGCAAACTTAAAGCTCTTGAACGGCAAACTAGAGAGTGTAAGCTAGGAATTATAATTAAATATAGCTAAAAACTTAACAATTTTGTGTATTGTAAGAAGTAAAAGAGCTGTATTGTTAGATAAGTAAGGTGTGTAGAGTAGAGAAAGGGGTTGTGCAGGCTTGTTTGTACACATATTTGTAAGTATACAGGAACGCATATATGTGTTGGAGTAAAGCGTTAAGTAAATAGAAAGAAATGTACAGCTGCTGAAGGTAGGTAGGTTGAGATAGAAGATTTCGACGGGGATTTGAAGTTGAGCTGCCAAGACGTGTCACGTGTACCCACGGACCAGCTATCTTCCAACAAAAGATTTTATGCACCGCACCACCCTGCGTCTCAAACTCTACTGTACGCATAAATTGCAAACATGCCTCCGAAGAGGCCTTCCGAGGACAGCAACAGCAGTAAATATCCTACGAAGCGCGTAAGGGACTGTACCTCCTATGCCAATCCCACGAGTCAGTCTACTGCAGTAGCTGCCGCGGAAGCTAACCCGCATGCCGATCAGCCTTAAGGTCTACAACACAACAAGCGCTAAGTTTACGTCTTAACAACTAACACACGCAGAACACAACGCGCCGCCCTCGCGTTAAGCCTCTACCTCCCCGCGCCCAAACCTATTAACCCCAACTCTATACATACCTACTTCATACTAGCCGCTGCGCGAGCATGCAGCAAGTTTAGACTAGAACGCCTCGCTAACGCCTACGCCTGCGCCTGTACGCTTCTCTTATACTTCTACGCATAGATAAATAGCGCAAGTAGCAGACACGCTACAAACAGCTACCGCCCGTACTGCGTATACTTATTAGTCTGCACACAGCTAACTTGTTGCTCCTACGCCCGCTAATCTGCAGCAGTTAAGGCCTACGTTGCTTTAGGTGCTAGCCTTAGGCCAGAGACGCTTAGACGCCTATACACAACAGCGCAGCACTCGCCTAGCCTTTTGTACTGCTTAGCTTGCTATTTACAGAACTAGAGGCGTTAAGGCCGAGTTTCGCCCAGACCTAGACGATGCTACGTACATCGCCGATCAATCCACAACAACAACAGAAGATAAGCAGAAGGAAGAAGATGAGCAGGAGGAGGAAGATAAGCAGGAGGAAGAAGATAAGCAGGAGGAAGAAGATAAGCAGGAGGAAGAAGACGCAGAACACAATAAACTAGATACCGAAGATGCACGGCTCGCGGTAGATAGCGAATCCTTAAACTAGACATTAGGCATGTAGCTAGAGGCTCGCAACAACTAGCGTGCTGTTAACCTTAAGGCTGACAGCGACCCCGCCTTATTGTTATCTGTAGAGTTTGTAAGTGCGCGTTGTGTGCTTTGGCTGCTGCTGCGGTTAATGCAGACGTCTATGTTTCGATTTATGTGGCTGCTAGGCGATGTGGACTCTAGATCTGATGCAGACCTAGATAGTGCGCAATAGTAGTATACGTGGCCTAAGTACCCTATAATCTGTGCACCCTAAATATAGGCTAGAAGAAATGAAATTTATTATGTCGCTACCGCATCCGAGCATTCTAGGCATCTCGTCCGTTAGTTCCAGCCGTCAGCTCCAGCAGTCAGCTCCAGCAGTCAGCTCCAGCACTAGGCTAACTAGTCGGCTCTCCAAAGAGTCTCTATCCTGTCTTCTAAAGAGACAAAAGATAGCTAACACTCGTAAACAGCCTACGCTCTGGGAATAATAATAGTACTAAAGGTAATGTAATTTAGCAATGATGTAAAATCCTACAAGACTTGTATAGGAAAGAACTAGAGCTACTCTCTACTCCTATATCCCTGCTGCATTAAAGGCTCGCTAACAGAAAGTCTGTCCCTGGTAATTAGATGCTTCGTATGCCTGCCTATTGTACATCTCTCTAATATGCCTGCGACCCTCTTAGCCTTGTTAGCCGGCTCTTAGCTTGTTTTAGTGTCGCTATCGCTTGATAAGTAGCTAAACAAGCTAACTATATTGCAATCTCGCTCGACGTCTTCTTCTAGTATCTCGTACACAACCTAGATATATTAGCTGTAGTTCCTATACGTGTCTCGACGTGTGCGGCAATGCAGCGCTTGCGCTTACCCTTATCTTGAACAACGTCACCCCTTTGTCCTTCATGTCGTGAAGAGCAACCCAGAACTTCATGTCGCTGTTAACTGCGACCCCCTCGCAGCTGTAATGTAATCTTCATAGACTATATTTCACTTTTCTGGTCTGACTCGACGACTTGGAGTAACGGGTAAGTCTCTACTATGCTTCTGCGTCTTTCTTGGTGTAAGTGTCTGTGAAGTTGCCTTTCTCTTCTTGTTTGGTGTATCGCTGCTCTGGCTGTCGGGCAAAGCTGAGGGCATCTTCAACCTGTTAGCAAAGAATTCATCATAGATACAAACACATACGGTTTCTTTTGGGAATGCGTAGAGATTATATCTCCACTCACCCCGGGTGTTCATTGCGATGATGGCTGATTGGAACGTTTCGTCGTCGTATATGACATCAAGTCTATCCTCGTCTTTGATTTCATAGCAGATTCCCAATTCGTCGATGTATGCTGATGCATCTTGGCCTTTGTCGCGGATGGCTTTGAACTTGCCGAGTTTCAGCTTCAGCAACTGGAAAGATATATCTTCCAGGTTCATGTCTGTCGGTGTAGGCTTGGTGTCTGTGTCGTATCCGTTCATTAAGGTTCGGAGACTGAAATCCCTAAGTCGAGTACTGGCGGCAGGATTGGCGTCATCATTTCGGTACCATAGAGTCACAGCCCAGTGTTGGAACTGGTAATATCCATCGAATTTGGGATATGAATAGTCTTTCTCGAGCACAAGTCGAACGTCGGTATAAGCGTTCACAAGAGAGTGATAGTCTGATCCAACAGCCATGTTAGGTTGCTTCAGAAGACTGTCAGTCCACCACTTTTGCGCATATCCAAACAAACCGAGAAGCATTTGCCTGCTCCAAGCGACAGGTATATGCATCTTAGATGCGAGCACATCATGTGTCATCATGTCTTTCATAGCCTGATCCAGGTTAAGGGCTCCTCCATATCCGGTCAGGTCGGTGTGGAGTAGGTCATGTTCGTGGAGAAGCCCAATTGCGCGGTCGCGGAGTTTGTAAAACTCTCCTTGTACTATGTCAAATCCGCGTAGGAAGGTTGCAACTGCGAAAGTTGGGGTGGATGGGACGCCCTTCTTTGTTGCGTTTCGGTAAAAGCTGTTGTCCGGCGGAGCGGCGCCAGAGCGGGGGATCCAGTAGCTGGGGTTGCGCTGGTCGTATGGGGATAGACTTGGTACGGACTTCGCTGGAGGGCTTTGCCTAGGACGCCGTCAGTGGGACATTCAAAATGTCGGTTTGTGCACTTACGGATTCTCAAAGTCAGACATTCTGATGCTGAAAGGTTGACAGGATGTAGCGCTACAGCGTCGTATCTGCCCGTGAATGTTGTCGCCGGTAAAGTTGTAGGGATGCGTTCGAGCTCTAGACGGTGCTGGAATTAGTTTAGTTGCCAGTATATCGGAATGGCGTTTTTTCATACCGGTAGCACTCAGTCTGTAAAGCAATGGTATCAGGATCCGTCTAGTAGTCGAGATGTCGCGTTCAAAGGAGGGTAACGTAAAGAGTTGAAGAGTAGTTTAGGAAGGATGCGGGAAGTGGTATAGGTTGCGTGCGTTGTTGACTTCCAAGTCAAATTTGACCGTCGTAAGATTGTCGCGGTGAGTGGAGGTGAAGGACAGTTTGAGAAATTGTGCAGCGCGTTGTGCAAATTGGATGAGAGGAGAGACGCGAGTTGGAGGTGAAGGGAACAGGACAGAAAGTGGCCGAAGTCGGTGTCTGCTTGGGATTCATCGATCACTTCAGCGATTGGTTTGAAGTTGACGCGCTTGGATAAAATTGCATTGATACCGGGTGGCCGAGCGCTTCTTCGGTGACATCACCTGAGCACAATAATACTCGCGAGCGCAACCATCAATATTATCGTCAGCGGTAATGCAAGTTGGGCGGAACGACACGGATGCCGGCGAGGCGGAGGATGCGGTGGGAGACTGGGGTAAGACGAAGCCGACGGAAAGGTAGTTCTGCTCATGAGCTGATTGAATCAGTGAACAACAGACGGTATAGACTGGTTAGAGACGGCGCCATCCAGCAGCTGCAGCTGTTTATAGCAAGTCTCCTATTAGCGTTTTGCAATCCTGCACTTGAGCGACACTGGATCTCTTCAGAGCCTGGAGAGCCTGCAGCGTATACGTCTCTATCTTTATCTGACAGCCTAAGCCTTGCAGACCTGCTCTGCCCGGAGGACAATTAGTTCTAGCTTCCTCGCGACGAAGCACGTCTTGTCGCCGTTCTTGATTACGCGGCCATTGCAGGAGAAGACAAGGCCGATCGCAAGAACAGGAAGTCTTGTAAGGCTTGTGAAGAAGGCACACAAGACAGGACCAATCTTCTCCACGGCTGCCGTCAGCCGAGAACTCTAGAGCGGCCCCGGGGTCTGTCTAGATGTACCAACTGCGTCCTTAAAGGGCGCCTGTGCAGTCTTACACGCTGTAAGTACCTGTTGTCTACGAGTCCCTTTGTCGCTAACTTGCTAGGATAGGAGCTGCTGTTTGTAGCGCGCTTTCTGACCTAGATAGCAGCTGTGCAGAAGATCTTGGGGGAAGATAGATAGGTCTCGAAAGCCTGGCGAAGTGCGCGTTAGAGCACGCATAGCAAAGTGCAAGATCGTAGTCTCTAGGCTACGGGGCTGAGCGAGCCTTATTAATGTATGTGCAAAGTATTAAGTCGACTACTCTATGCTAACTGTCTTAAAGCGACTACTCTGCCTGCCTGCCGTCTATCCTATGGTCTGCTCTAGGCATCCTCCGATGACGCTGTGACACGCTAGACTTCTGTCTCTTAACTAGACATCCCCCGCGATCCCGTTCCGCATACAAATCCTAGGTCTCCCTGACAAGAAAGTAAAGCGACTATAGCAGACGAGTATTGTGCAGAAGAGGGGGGAGTGGAAATGGCGAATAGTGTTAGCGGTGCCGGCGCGCAGGGACATAACAGCAGCCTTTAAGACCCTGCCCTTTGTATAGAGACAACTACTAGCCTCCTACCTATTGCACTGATAGATAGAGAAGGCGAATTAGGTCTCTTTGCTGCGGCAGCATGTCTGGCTACAGACACGACAACTGGGGTACTAGAAACAGGAAGTTCTAACGAGGCGACGACTGCGCTAGGCTCTAAGAGCTAGCCAAGCATTAGATCTAAGGATGGCGATAGGTGTATAATAGGGGAGCTTGGTGGATGCATGCTGGATGAGATCGCGGCGGCAAGCGGCGATGGCGAGCACTCCCTACAGCTAGGCGATGACGAAGCAATACGCACCGATGCTAGCTTGTCGTATTCTGAGTCTCTAGCATTACCTGAGACTTCTGCTACACGTTAGGTTCTGCGACTAGTTGCGCCGCTAGGTCCTAGTGGCCTTTGGATTGCATGGATTACGGGGGCCTGTGGGCCTATGCTAACAATGCTAATGGCGAATAAGTAAATGCGTCGGTAGGGGTGTGTAAAGCTACAGGTAAAAGAGATGGGGTGGGAGGCTGGCGGGTGAGAGACAACGTTGGGATACTGCGCATCTTACCGCTATGGGCATGCTTAGACGACGTAGGAATATAAGCCTTTCTATCTATTACCCCTCTTCTACCTTGTCTACTGCTGCATTGTCTAGCTCTATTATCACCCAGCGTCTGCTGCTATTACGTTGAATAGATTGAGCATGTAAGAATTGAATGACGAGACACCTGGGCATGTGTAGTTTTACTAACAAGAACAGAGCAGGCGTTAACTATTCGGAACAAACGAAGTATAAACAATACAGCAAGTATCTAGAGCAACAAGGATACACCTATCTATTGTCTTCTACTAGAGATTGCCCTTATAGCCTTTAGGTACCTTGAATCCTCTGATGTGTGTAGCGTAAGATTAGTGTCGCGATAGATGCGAGACAGCGCAAGCCCTGGTTTTAGCGCCCTCTTCTACTACCTGCATATCTTGTTTACCTGCAGTAGGCTTGAGAGGCTAGAGGCTATTTGCGCAGACGAAGATATACGAAAAAGCATCTTGCTTATCTAATTTACGCTACTAACGCCTATACTTACCTACGAGTTTAAAGCTGTGGTTTCTAGTCGCGGTTAGAGCACTGCTGTACGACATGCGCTAGAGAACATTAAAGTGGCAGGAAAGATAGCCGTAGCAGGTGCTGGGCCTATAGAGAGCCTTGTCTCTGAGCTGCATACGTTAATGTCTATCTACGCTATAATGTAGAACGGCGAGGCGGTCTTTATGTTGGTCTTGTGCTTTTAGCGAACTCCCTAGCTGGAGGAGCTGCAGTTGCACAAGGGGGGCACACTCGCTAACTGCATCTATACGGCGAGCACAGCCTACGGCATTAGCTTACTCTTGTCTCTAGCCGCTGCTATCTTTACGGCTTTGGTGCATGCAAGGGTCTAGTTGAAGACATTCCGCATGATCTACGACGGCTACTACGCCTACCCTTACGGTATCTCTCTTTTCGATCTACATCTTTGCATGCCTAAGATGGGAGAGCATCTTCGCCTGCTGGACATTTCTATTACTGCGCCTGTTTCTGGTACGTACACTGGAAGAGCATTTTATTACCTGTAGTCTAACTTAGTGGCAGACATTGTCGCAAGCTTAGTACACCTTATAGCGAAGATTACTGTGCATCTTACGAATATTAGCTATCTTACCCTTCGCTTCGCCTGGCCACAGCTCGGCTCTATCCTACTCAATTTTATATTGCAGGCACCTATCGGCTGTCTTTGATTATTGCATCTGTACAATACCTGGGTAGAGCTACGCTACGTCCTAGATTTTCTGCGCACAAATGCAGGCCTGCACGAGCTAAATCTTGTTAGCATTGAGGTGCATGTCTAGAGAGAGCTGCGCGATCTTTGCTCTTATGTTGCGACATCTAGGCAGATGACGGAGTTTAGGCTGCGGGACGTACGAGTTGAAGGTCTAAGCAGTATACATAGGCTGCCGGTCCGGCATGTTTTGCGCCTGCTTGCCTAGCAGTCTGAGACGCTTGCATTGAACTATAAGGCAGGCTAGGGTGGAGGAGATCTAGCGGTAGCGGGGCTAGGTGTAGGGCTGGCACAGAAACTTGTGGTATTGCTCTAATTGCAGACGAGGATGGCTATGCAGCAGACAATCTACAGGAAGATAGGGAAGGATATATTATTGAGCAATCTAGCGGATCTATAATACTATATAGCTAGCACATATGCACACATATTAATATTAAGATATAAGAATGCATAGAAAGAAGACGTTGTTGGGAAGATCTAAACTGGTATATATAGCTGAGCCTGTGACTACTAGCTCTAGGTACTTGAGCTACTACTCTACAAGAGTATATTAAATGTAACCTGAAGACCTAGGCATATAGTAGTAATAGCAGACACTGCGCAGATCTGTTCTTTGGGCCTAACCTCGCGCATTACAAAGCTTAGCCTCTAGAGATTAGAGAAAGATCGCAACGCCTTAAACGTGTCCGCAGTCTATCCTTAAAAATATCCACTGAACCAGTATACGAGATTAATGTACCGTACCTAGCTAACATCTTCGTTCTGCTTCTGTGAGCGAACCTAATTGTCTATAGACTTAACATCTGTAAACTCTACCTAGCAGTTGACTCTAAATTGCTTCTACCCTTCTACTATGCATTTAGATTGTATGCCTCGCGAGATATAGAGTAGCAGACGTAGTCCGCGCAGGCTATGTCCTGCTTGTAGCGATGTGATAGTAAAGCGGTCTTGCTCGAATTGCGCTACTTCTTTGTAGGGGTGATCTGCGTACTTAATAAAGACATGCTATTGCTTCTACCTGTAGCTGAGGACATATCTTTGGTGCTCTTTGCTAGGGCTGCAGACCTGGCCGTAGATGCATGTTCTAATTTTAGCTGGTAAGCTGTACAATAACCTGAAGCCGCCGATAATGTTGACTAGATTGCCGTTTGACCTCCTGCTAGCAGGGTTGCTGGTAGCCTTGCTTCTGTTGTCTAGAAGTTCTATGCTTGCTTGTCTCCTAGGCGTAGAAGGCGTAGAAGGCGTAGAAGGCGTGGAAGGCGTAGAAGGCGTAGAAGGCGTAGAAGGCGTTGTATATTGATTAGCTTTCTTTTTTTTCTGATGGCGAGCGCGTTGTCGCTTTGCAGATTCATAAGCTGTGATGCGCTAGCGCAGAGACAGATAATGTTAGGGTTGAGAGCTGAACATAACAATATTAGCGGCGCAGGACGGTATTGGATAGAGTTCGCTGCGATAATAGACACTGTTACTGACTGTACAGCCGCATAGGGACTTGGTTGTTGAGTTGA